CGACCGTCAAGAGTCGCGGGCTAACTTTTCGACGGACGCGCGGAACGAAGATCACTCCTTCCGACAAACTTGCGGACTACCAAAGATCACGCAGACAATCTTTGATAGTTGTCTCGTGGCAACCAAGTGCAGTGCCGTGGTTACCCCTTGCAACCATGCCACAATCTGATCTATACATTGCGCGCTCTAATCAACCATCGAATTTCTACGACATAAGGCAGGTGTGGCGAGTACAGTAATCCGCCCGGGCATAAATCCCTCCCCTCTTTTTTTCCTTTTTGTGGAGTTAACTAATTTCTGGTAACTTATAAAACTTACCCTCTTATGGGTGCTCGTCTCGTTAGACTTTTCAAATGCCACCAAATGCCATTTAAGACATATACCAACAAGGAGTATGAAGATTTCGAGTGCTGTAAGCACTATAAAGAACAACAACCGATACTGATCGAGATAAGAATTCGATCCAGCTAAACGAATTGGACATGAGTCACACAGCTTTCAACTTTTCAGTTTGAAACAACTTACATTGAAGTCGAACTGGAATCAGGGCTACCTTCTTCATATCGTCTTTGAACGGAAATATGGCGATATATATGATAATGGCAGCAGTTTTGATGAGTATTCCAACAATCTGAAAAAAAGAAATCATGCCATTCTGCGATTATTCGGGTAAAAAATAGTCTCCCAGTCACCAGACGCGACGAGGCCCTTGTTGAATAGATTTTCATTCTGGTCACACCCTCTGAAGAAGTCAACCTGTGGCTGTTCCGTTACTCAGAAATTATCCAATCCAATCATCCAGTCATCTCAATACCGTATCGATAACCCCTACCAGCCCCTACACCCCTGCATCGTTATACTCAAATGAAAACTCAAACACTGGATGAAAATGAGCTGAAGAATCCAAACTCTAGCAAATACTTGTGCCAAAACCGGCCTAAGTGAAGTTCAAGCCTGATTAAACTCCCGGAGGGCGTCTATTCCCAGAGATGGCCTTTCCTATCAACACCGTTTGCCCTTGCTTCGAATAGAAATCAGCCTTTGTCGTTCTCATGGATACCGAGCCGGTTTGTGCCGTCAGTAATCATTTGATAAGGTTTTCATAAAGGCTCCTTTGTTGCCAAAAGAAATTGGATATATAAAAAGTCAACTCACCGCTACAAGACAGCACGGCCAGTAATCGGATCTGTTTTCAGAGTTGATGTGACAAAGAGCATAGAGGACGACGAGGCAAGGCACAGTCAAAGATACCAACGATAGGGGATAGTGGAGTAGAACGGGTACGGCACTGACCAGAAGATAGAATACCAACAGACAGAATGCAACACGCTGAAATGGCAATCACTGTAGAACCGTTTGCGACCTTTGAAAGCATACGCAGAGGGCAGAGAGCTGCTCCAGCACTGCTCTCAAGCAGTAGAAGGAGGTCAGGGCTTGCACTGCTGGGTGGTTTACTCCAAAACTTTACCTTTCCATGAATTTATAGACCCATAGACCACAAACGCATACTATGCCTTAACCATCCTGAATGGGAGTCGAGTGCAGGATCGCACACCTCAGACGGGACTGATTAACGCCCCAATACTCTACCCTTTATCCTTTAATTGTCATTGATGGATCAGCTCACACTACTTTCTCTTTTCGCTACAAAACTCAACTTTAACGTTACTCAGGTAAGAAGGGTTTGCTACTGCATTTGAGCCCTTTTCGCTTCCCTTCGCTTTGCCATACATGCATCCACTCTCATTGGAATTCGTAGTAACGTACGACTCACATGTATTGAATAACGGGATGCCTTTGCCCTTGCTTTCTATATTTGTTTTTGCCCTTGCCTTACTATCCATATTGAGGCAGCTCAACAAAGAATCTACTAAGAAATGCCCTGGGAGCCATCAAGAGCCCAGCTGCTCAACTCAAAAGCGAATACTAGTTCCACGAACTTCATGTTGACCCAAACAGCTAAATAGTGCACGACATCATTATGGTTATTAGTCCTCTACTAATTTCCTGAGTTCCTTTCTCAGCATCAACATTGCCCAGGGCACAAAACAGATGAATCCGCACGTAATCTGTCCGACTTGAGCCGCCCTTAGTTGCAAGCTCTCCGGTATTCCAAGAAAACGGCAAGAGCATGGCGTGCTCTTGATCCATACAAAGAACTTTGCTCTCTCTAATCTAAGATCGTTGAGCTGTATGTAATCAGCTGTCACTGACTCAGGGCCACAAATCATTCATTGTTATCAGTGGTATTCAGATAAGGTAAATGTTATGTATACAAAAGTATTTGCGCGATGTTACATGCACGAAGTCTAGAATGTTCTTTGAAACTTTCCATTTTTAGCCAAAGTATGTAATTGGGCAAAACAATGCATGTTGTTGTGAGGGTTTTTGGGGGTAGGAACTGATCTGAAGCTCTTAGGCCTCGCCCGATTCGATCCGATTCGAATCGGATGGGGCTAGAGAGCAGATCGGACTGGTACATTTCTGGGCATGATCCCCGGGAATGGATCTATCTAATCTGTTGGGTTCAGATTCACGCTCTACCTTCACAACAGAGACCGCGAGGTAACTCGAACTCAGGTGATGCAAAAAGCAAGTGACGACCGAAAAATATAGAGACTAATGGCATACTTTTCATATTTTTCGAGCATCAGGCTAGCTAAAAAACAGAGCTTCGAGAAATCCTAAAAACAACAAATTCTTGGGATTTCTCGAACATCATTTCTTCATCAGCTTCAAGCGATTTTTNTACTTTTCATATTTTTCGAGCATCAGGCTAGCTAAAAAACAGAGCTTCGAGAAATCCTAAAAACAACAAGTTCTTGGGATTTCTCGAACATCATTCCTTCATCAGCTTCAAACGATTTTTTCGGAAACGTTCAAAACAACTTGAAAGGCTTCTCCGGTGAAACAGAACCTGAGGAGGGCCGGATAGCAGAGCTTTTTCTCTGGCCACCACTTTTCCCCGGGGAAAACCAGCATTCATTATCAGACGGCGAGGCAAGGTGTCTGGAGCTAATATATTAATGTAACCACGAGCCCTCCACGTGAAAGCCTATGAAATTCTTAGGGCAATGTAGAAGGTATGAAAAATCACATGTAAACGGCACATCCGGCCCGTTTCGGGATGCGCCCCGCATTAGAAATCTAGTCATATTGCAATAGCTATTTGAATGCATCCGTGGTCTACAGAATGCCATGCCTTTTGGTGGCCAGCCTATGGATGGCTCAGAGCTTTGTCTTTCTAAACGATTCTGGTAGCAAATAAACAATTTTGGAGAAATGGAAGGCTTCGTTCGCCTATGAGAGGAGCATATCTGGGATTGAGTCCAAGGACCATGGTGTTTGTGATAGTATGCCGCTTGCCACTAAACTAGACTACAAAAGAATTTAATATCAGTGAAGAGGATCGGTGAATGGACATTTCGCTAAAGAATGAAAATTGATTCCGGCGAAACAATGTTGTACACCACAATTTAAGATTCGAATCCAATTTGTCAGCTCGTCAGATTTCTCTAGAAAGTTGACAAGACAGATTCCTAGAGAAAAAAGAGGACGGCAAGCATCGATAAAAATGGGCTCACGCTCATGTGTACTCTTTTTGGCGGCTCTGCATGAATACTGTGAACTGAATGATGTGAAGGTGCTTTGCTTGGACGGCGGTCGTAGTGAACTCCTTCATCGAGGGGTCGAGTATTTATAAATATCATTCTGAAAACGGAATAGGCGTTAGAGAGAGTTGGGAATAACCTTCAGTAGCGAACGGATCCAGCCGAACGATCACAAAAAAGAACAAAAAAGCAGCCGATCAGATTAGTGGGAGTCATTTACAGAGGAACAACAAAATGAACGAAATGAATAGATGTAAAGACGAAAAGGTAAAGAAAAAGCATTCATTCCTCAGGTATGGGTCATACGCACTCATTCCAAAGCAGTGAGGATGTACAGAATCTCAGAGTCTACCCCCTTCCTCACCATACCGCAACCACCTCAACTGCCCCCATGTAGTGAGCGATGATGAAGGCAAACTAAGTGAACAAAGACTGATGGGCTTGACTGGAAAGTGGGGGTTCCCATGAACGAGACGTAAGACGAGAACGATGACGTCTTTCGATATGATATGGTTCTAAGAGAAAGTGTTCAAGAGTTTCCCAGATGTCTTAAACGTCATATGAATTATAGTGAGAGGGATACTGGATGACAAATGCTGCCCACAGGAGTCTCGGGTAATCGCGTTTTGTGGCCCAATATTATGATGGGGGGAAATACGAAATACAAAGCATCAGCGGAGGGACCAGGGTGATTACTGCAGGCTAATAATTAGTAAGATGGCAAGTCAGTCAGTAGCATGCCACTGCATATTCGTCCTCCACTTGGAAATTCACGAAGCAAAAAAATATTGAAAGGGGTGTCTATAGCGATCCCCAGGAATCAATTCTCATAATTTATCGGTTCTGATTAGCCGTTAGGGAAGTATGTTGAGAGCTAGACTTGTTCTGCTTACCTCTGATACGAGCCTGATCGAAAAATGGTAGACAGAAATGATCGGTATGTAGAAGTGGAAAGAGGATGCGATGCTTTCCGTTAAGCAGTGGATAATATTCGAAGGTGAAAACCAATACTTGGGGCAAAACCACTTAGTAATAGAAGATCATAGGTGGAGCACCCCTTTTTTCAAATCATGTGGCAATTGGAAATTTAGTCATGAAAAGCGGTCATGAAATTGCTCTAAAAAAGCAATAATAGCCACAAGAGTTATCGGTCTGCCACATGCCTCAATGGCGCAGAAAAAGTGATTTCTGGGAGATATTTCGTCTCTGCTACGGTGAAGTCTAAAGTATAAAGGATAAGGTCTTTGGGCCTTAATCAATCCCGTCTGGAGGATGCGCCCCGCATTCGACTTCCATTCACAATCGTAGTGGCATATTGAATGCGTATGTGGCCTATACAATGACGATGTGGCCAGCCGATGTACAAGTCAGTGCATCTGTTATCCCAGACAAGCCTACTACCAATCCACCGACCCCGGAGGGATGAGAGGCTTCCTTGGCTAAGGCGGATATCGACCTAGGATTCAAACCCTTGACCATGCGTGTGTGAAGTGCCACTACACCACCTCCGCCTCTTTGTCTCGGTACCACTAATAATTTTTACCTCAACATGTCTAGTATATAGACGAGAGCTGGCTTGATCAAGCCTCAACCATCGTTAGGTAGAAGGCCGAAATTCGATTGTGCTGCTTGTTCCAAATTAATTAACGAGCATATTCTTCTCTGTCTCAGGCAAAAAATCATTCGTTATGTGGCCTTCGAATGCGAAAATGAATTCATTCCTTTTTATTATACGTTCTGGCACACTACTGGGAGCGCACAGCAATGCATTGACGAAAGTATCGCTGAAAAGACTAAGGAGCAGACGAAAAAGACCACTTTTTTTTTAGCGAAACAGCAGATAAAGAAGGGGTCTTTTTAACGAAGCTGCAGTGAAACCCAAGAGGGAAAGAAAAAAGAAAAAGCAGTAAGGTTTTTGTAGTTCATGTAAATTAGATCAGCTAGGTAGAAGTAGATTTGCATGCAAGTCAGCTCCTGCGAAGACATCAGCCTTCACTTAAGGTCTTCATAGAATTATCTTCAAAGCTCTACAAAGAACGGCCCAATGCATCTGAAATAGGAAGAAACCTTCAGAATTAGCATGGGTTGGAGCTGAAGTTGCCTGAGTTCCAGCTCTGAAAGGAGCCATTCAAGGGCCCTACGTTCGAGTATTTCGAGATAAGATGGAGTTGGAGTGATGGCAGCCGACGGTTATCGCCCGTATGGCCTGGCCTTCGAATTTCGACCCAATAGCCGGCTAGGCCAACAAAATCTTCCATCCCTCGGGGTGGGTAATTGATGACAAATTTATCCAGCGGGATAAAATTACAGCAAAAACGTTTGGCTGAGGTCGTAAGCCAGTTCATGGGCTCGAATCGCTCTCATTAGGGATCTACGTGAAAGCCGCAAGAGTGGATGCTGACCGAAGAGCTTTATTCCATTTCTTTTCCTCCCCACGAGGGTCGGCTGGTGAAGAGACCCAATAACAGTAATAAAGTGAAAGTGGGCGCAATTATCACCGGAATCTTGTAACTCCATCGGCATTGAAAACATTTGGCAGGAGACTTCAAATTCATAACGAGAAAAAAGTCCAACAAGAGAGTGCCACATGTTGTCTTACCCTCCCAGCTCACGCGGGAGCATTCCTTTCGGGAAGTTTTTTATGGATGGAAAAAATTTGTCACCCACACACTGAGAGTTAAAAAAGCATTGAATCGATCTTCTCGTCAAACTATTTCGAAGACGCGGAAGATTAAGCTTCTAAGAAGCGGCACATCGCTGCAGCTCAGAATATGCGATTCCCAGTGCGACACTTTGGGTACGATAGGCATCAGCTTGGAGGAGATCTCGTAGAAGCATCTGCTGATTTATGACCTTGTAAGAAGCTAGGATTTAAATGAGTGACGTGATGAATACAATACAGCTGTGGCATCGAGTGGCTTCCAGAGAGCAGGAACAAGAAGTTGGAAGAATTCCTTAGAAGGACCGCGTCAAAAAATAATGGACTCCCCAGTATTCCGGGTACATCTGTTGTCACCTTAAGAATTAAACTCCTTGGGTCATCAATACAAGCCCATCGGGGCAATCTGGACAGAGCAAACCGAATGTATTATTAATTAGTTGCTGAGTGAATACAAATGAATAGCTCCTTGTCAAGAATAATACCCATTCATACGTGTTCGACTTTCATAAACGCCTCTAAAAACAAATCAAGGAAGGGATTCTGATAATCTGTGATTCTTGGGACCATCTTTCATGTCCTTCACTTGGATATTTACTGGAGAAGATCTGTTCATAGAAATGAAGGCTCCTCCGTATCGAATAACAAACAGTCGCTCAAACTCCAATAATTCCTTCAACTCCTGGGTCTAACAACAGGACAGCTTCCTTATCCATAGTAGTCGTCATTCCATTCTTTTTCTGTTTTTCTAGCTGCCGTGGCAATTTTGCAATGTCCACGTCCAGAAAGCTCAGGGCCTACTGTTCGAAGAAAAAAAGCTGTCGTGGAAAGTGCTTACACCCTCACCTAACATTCCCCTAGATTGGTATCGAATTACTGTACCGCACTATTTCTCCAGGGTTACCACAGTACCTGTTAGTGTCAGTGTGCTTCCAGGAAACCAACAACAGCACCCACCTCTATTTCCGAGGAAACCGCCATGACTTTACTATCGGTTGATTCACTGTATTTCTTGAGGTCCCCCTTATTTCTTACTAGCTGCTCCTTGAGACGAAAAAATTTGGTCAGTATAATAGTTCTATTCCGGTGGAGGGAAGATTCGAGAGAATAATGCTCTCTGAAAGATATGGCTAAGAACTGGTGTGACGTGATCATTATAAAACAGACACAAAGTCTATAGAGTGGATTAGAAGCGATATGGCAAATAAAAAAAATAAGAGCTGTCGTCTTCAAATTTGGGGGGGGGGGCATAGAAA